CTCCGGCCTCAGCCTCTCAAGCTGCTGGGATTACAGGTGTGCACCATGGTGCCTAGCAGGGAAGACTTAAAAGTCAAAGCCCTAGAGCTCTATGTAGAGGAAGTGAGGTATCCCTGTTCTTCCTCCTAAAGGACTTAGTGAGTGGGTTCGAATTTCCTTGGTCAGTAAGTAAGCTCTCCTTTCTTTCCAGGCATGAACCCCCTACACAGCCTTAGGTGATATCCCAGTTTTGTGTGTCACTGAATGGGTCATGAGTGAGCCGACCTCTCCCCCAGGTGGTCAGCAACCTGAGACAAGGTGTCTTTTGATGTCATAGCAGAGCCCCTTCCCAGAGCCACCTCTCCACTGACCAGCTCCTCCCTTCCTCAGGGTTACCTTCCTCCCACCAAGAATGGGGCTGAACCTAAGAGGCCCAGCCGGCCCATCAACATTACACCACTGGCTCGACTCTCAGCCACTGTTCCCAACACCATTGTGGTTAATTGGTCATCTGAGTTTGGACGGGTGAGCAAAACTAAAACAGGGTGCCCGGAAAGGCCTACAGGAGATGAAGGGAAATCATCTCTGTTCTTCATGGGACAAAAGAGGGTGGTGGTGGTGGTATGAGAAGCCGAAGCTGATTTTCTCCCTCTGACTCCCTCCTCCAAGTAGAATTACTCCTTGTCTGTGTACCTGGTGAGGCAGCTGACTGCAGGGACCCTTCTACAGAAACTGAGAGCAAAGGGCATCCGCAACCCAGACCATTCTCGGGCCCTGAGTGAGTAGCATCCTTTTCCTCTTCCCCCTCTGATTTGGACCTCAGTCTTCATAATACCTTTCTTGTGACAACTCCCTTCTCTTTTCACACGAACTCCAACTCTCTCCTGACTCCCTGCCAGTCTTCATGTGAGAAGCCAGACCATTCCCAGGATGGATGGGATCTGGGTTCTCTGGACTGGAAAGCAGCTTCAGTCCCTTCTAGGTCATCTCTGATGTAGCCATGTTTGAACCACTTCAGGAATTGGGAGTCTCTCCCTCACACCCAGCCTTTGTAACCCAGATCTCAGACCATCCACGTGACCAGTCCAGTGATCCCCAAAGACTCTCCACCCAGCTGCCTTAGCCAGGGCCATCTGCATGGGCCTCACCAACCCCGGGGCTTCCTTCCGCCTTACTGATCCTATGGCTCTGGCCTCACTCTTGTTTCAGTCAAGGAGAAATTGACGGCTGACCCTGACAGTGAGGTGGCTACTACGAGTCTCCGGGTGTCACTCATGTGCCCGGTGGGTACCAGGGGAGAAGGGAAAGGGGAGGGAGGTCGGGCTAAACCTCTGGACTCTGATGAGTGTTCTTAGGGATGTGAGAGTGAGGTTTTCTGGAATGAAACCAGAGTGAAGACTCTGACTAGAAAGTTCTCTCCTCAGCTAGGGAAGATGCGCCTGACTGTCCCATGTCGTGCCCTCACCTGCGCCCACCTGCAGAGTTTCGATGCTGCCCTTTATCTACAGATGAATGAGAAGAAGCCAACATGGACATGTCCTGTGTGTGACAAGAAGGCTCCCTACGAATCTCTTATTATTGATGGGTAGGGTCATTTTTCTTCCTCTTAGCTAGGCATCCACCAGGACCCTCTTGACATAAATGGCTTAACTTCCCGTCACATGAACTCCAGCTCTCGCTCTGTCCCCTTTAGCTGTACATTCACAAGTGTACATACATGCAGACATGCACGTGTGTGAGTGTGACAATATTAAGGAATATGTATGTATGAGGCCTAGTGCTGAGCACTTTGTGTGCCTTATCTCATCGAATCCTCCTAATGACCTTGTGAGGTAGCTGCCATAGAGGAAATTGAGGCCTAGAGAGATCGAGTCTTGCTCAAGTTTATACTGTTAGTAGGGCAGTTATAACTGAACCAAATTGTTATGACATATTGCTTATAACAACTATCTCACCTTCCACTGAGCATAGCAATAAAGTTCATTTGAGGGTCTGGGTGTGCTAATCCAGTTAGATTTTTTTTTTTCCTTACAAGCAAAGAATATTTTATTCCCCACAAGTAAAGATTTTTTTTCATAAGCAAAGAATTTCTTTTTCTTAGTTGATCTTATCCATCTTCTAGAGTCTTCATATGGATCTTGCTTGCAGTGTGTTTTTTGAGATGGTTTAAGAAGTTCTGTATCTCTTTTTCTATCTTGTTCCTAGAATTATACCTAACAAGTGCTCAGATTGTATTTATGTTAAAACCTAACAGCAAAAGCTTGCAAAGTTCTTTTACATATGTACTTACTTTGATTTCAACAGTGACTCAGAGGTCTAGTAGGGTGGATATCCCTATTTTACAGATGAGGAAACTGAGTCACAGGAAGGTGAGTCACAGAACTGAGTACTGTGCAGCCATCTCCCGGCCTCATAAATGCCCATCTTTCCCTTCCTCTAGTTTATTCATGGAGATTCTTAATTCCTGTTCGGATTGTGATGAGATCCAGTTCATGGAAGATGGATCCTGGTGCCCAATGAAACCCAAGAAGGAGGCATCTGAGGTTTGCCCCCCGCCAGGGTATGGGCTGGATGGTGAGTGACCCCCTGTCCCCCAGCTGAGCTAAATCTCAGATGGCCCTTTTTCTAAGACAGTCCTCTTACCACCTACAGGCCTCCAATATAGCCCAGTTCAAGAGGGAAATCCTTCAGAAAATAAGAAGAAGGTTGAAGTTATTGACTTGACAATAGAAAGCTCATCAGATGAGGAGGATCTGCCCCCAACCAAGAAGCACTGTCCTGTCACCTCAGCTGCCATCCCAACACTACCTGGAAGCAAAGGGTAAGAGGATCTACAGCAAAAGGGACAATGGAAGAGTCGGGAATGCTTTCTGATCAAACCCGGAGGCCGGGAAAGGTGGAGAGGGTAGAGGGGACCTGGGAAGCCGGCCTGGGGGACGGTGTGGTCCACTAGCTGCCCCAGCCCCTGCTTTCCTTACAGAGTCCTCACACCTGGTCACCAGCCCTCCTCGGTGCTACGGAGTCCTGCCATGGGCACCTTGGGCAGTGATTTCCTGTCTGGTCTCCCACTACATGAGTACCCACCTGCCTTCCCCCTGGGGGCTGATATCCAAGGTATGACACTGATGCACAGATGGGACCCTGCTCCTTTGCAAAGTCTCCTGGGTCTCCTCTAAGAAGCCACCATCCACAGAACTTGTCTTTTGGCAGTGAAGGGGTCAGATAGGAAGTTGATTTTGATTTTTCTTTTCCTGCCAGGTTTAGATTTATTTTCTTTTCTTCAGACTGAGAGTCAGGTAAGTGGTTCCTTTCTCCATGAAGATCTGAGATCTCTGAAGCTTCCTTTCTAGGCACTGAGGGTACCCTGATCTCTGCCATTGTCCCTGGGAACTCAGTCTTCTCTGTGAGGGAGGGAGGATAAAGGTAGCTTATTTCCCTCCTCGGCCCCCACTAGTACTTCCTCAGATTCCTACCTGTTTTCCTGGATCCTGTCACTGTTCTTTGAGGATTTTTAGTGTCCTTCCGCCCCTGCCTGCTCGCCTTCACACATCCTGTGCACTTAAAGCACTGGGTGTACCCCGCCGCCGCCCAGGCCCACATTTCAGACACCTCAAGGCCAAGAACCTGGTGTGCTGGAGGGGCTGTCTCCAGGCAGCGCGAAAGGGAGGGGTGTGGGAGAGCAGGCAGAGCCACAGAGGTCCTACGTCTGGAGAAACAAGAGCCCTTGAAACCCACAGGGGCTCACTGACCCCATGAGACATTTCTGAGCTGAGTTATGGGAGGTGGGTGAGTTGGGATAGACCCTAAACTGTGCCCTTGATTCCTCCAGCACTATGGTCCTTCCGTCATCACCTCGCTAGATGAACAGGATGCCCTGGGCCACTTCTTCCAGTACCGGGGGACCCCTTCCCATTTTCTGGGCCCCCTGGCCCCCACACTGGGGAGCTCTCACCGCAGCTCCACTCCAGCACCCTCTCCTGGCCGTGTCAGCAGCATTGTGGCTCCTGGGGCGCCCTTGAGGGAGGGACATGGAGGACCTCTGCCTTCAGGTCCCTCTTTGACTGGCTGTCGGTCAGATATCATTTCCCTGGACTGAGCTCCTTGGATTATGGAACCTTCACTGTCCTCCAACACTGAGCAAATATGCTGTGTGGACCCCAGCCCCTGGCCACTCTCATCCCTCGGGGGCTTTGGCCAAAGGCCACACAGACCTTCAAGGACACCTACTTTGGCCTCATCTCTGCCTAACAAAGCCAGCAGCAAAAGGTTAATATTTAGCTTCTTTTAAAGGACATTGGGGTCTGTTTGGGGAATGTTCTTTAGATGGTGGCACGTTCCTTTGCTGTGTTAACCCAGGCAGTGGGGGGCAAATGAGATGGGGTGGCAGTTGGGGAAGGGTTGGAGCCTCCTGGGGAAGGGGCCTTTGTTTTTGTCTGTGAGATGCCCTCTCTGTCCCCCAAGCCCAACCATTCATACTTTTCATGTCCATTCCGTTCCCTTTGGCCACACAGGCGGCAGGACAGACAGGCAGTTTCAGAGATGGACAAAAAAACCTCTATTTTGTGTTGTGGATTTTTTTGTACATAAACAGAAAACTCCCAAATACTCCAAAGATGACTTTCCTGCCCCTACTTCCTAGTATGACTGAGTAGGAGAGAGGCCTTAAGTCAAGATCCCCAGGGTTTGAGAACAGGGAGGGCCCAGACGCCTGCCTGGGTCTCTCTCTATTTATATATTTAAGTTCACAGCGTGTCTGAACACTGACCAGCCTGGGGCCTGTGCCTCTCGAGGCCCACCTGTGCCTCTCGAGGCCCATGGCCCTGGGCTTCGCCCTGGCTCATTTTGCACCTTTCCTGGCAGGTGGGAGGACCCTTGCGCCCTCCTTCCCAATCTCTTTTCTCTGGCTCCTCAAGGGCCTGGAACCTATGTTGTAATTTTACTTTTTACTTTCAAAGTTGTAGCAAAGTTCTCACCATAATAAAGGTTGTGAATGTTCTGTGAGTGTCGTGGAGGTGGGCTAGGGAGGGGGTGGGCACTTCACTTTCCATATCCCTGGGTTGGGGGAAGAGGGTCCATGTTCCATTCTTCCTTCGATGGCCCTACATCCATGTAAGCTCCACTTTCACCTGGTGGCGTGTTACGCTGAGGACTTCAAGAGCAGTTATTATTTATCCCTTCCTCTCCTCCATGCCCATAAGAACCCTAGACCATTCCAGCCCCAATGCCGTGGAGCCCTCAAGTCGTTCCTCATCTTTACCTGTGCAGATGTTGCAGCCATAGCCGGAGGGCAAACTTGGTTCCAGTGCTGATCCTCTCCTTGTCCTCCTCTGTGGTTGGGGTTGTCCACAGCAGTGTGGACGTGGGACCAGAGGTTGGGCTCCTCCATCCTCCTTTAGTTCTACTGCACTGCAGTGTGACAGCTCTTGTCTGAGTTGTCCCTTAGGGCTTGGAAAGGACTACTTTTTTTTTTTTTTTTTTGATGTTGATGTACCTTTATTTTGTTCATTTATTTGTTTTTTTAATTTTTTATTTTTTTGGTGGTGCTGGGGATTGAACCCAGGGCCTTGTGCATGCAGGGCAAGCACTCTACCAACTGAGCTATGTCCGCAGCCCCTTGTTCATTTATTTGTATGTGGTGCTGAGAATCGAACCCAGAGCCTCACACAAGCTAGGCAAGTGCTCTGCCACTGAGCCACAACCCCAGCCCCTAGAACAAACTTTGTTAGGTCATGTTAGGTGGTTGGGTATTAATCTCATTTTACAGAAAGGCAAGAGGTTCAAGGAGGGTGCCCTTAGTTGAGAGTCAAACTTAGGTCCTCATTTCTAGCCAGTTGGAGTAAGAACCCTTGGAGTTTGTATCTCTTAATCATCAGTGAACCAACTCACTCCCTAAATCTTCTCCACACCACAAAATTCCATTCTAAAGAAAAGAAGGGAACTGAATTTCTCAGTGTGTATGTGGTGTTATGTTGGAGGCTAAGGAAGAAGCTCTTACTTACAGGATAGAGGATGGGAGGTCCTGAGGGAGATCTCTGGGTGTTTCTGTCCTATCCTCCGTGGCACCCACTGCAGCTGCTGTATCTGGTTCCAGCCACATAAAGGCGCTCACCTCACTTGGGTTTGGTTAGATCCGGACCTGGGTTTAGACATGTTGATTTCCTTAGCCATGGCCCCTCCCTGGCCTGTTCTGAGCACAGCAGACCCGCAGGTGGAATGGAGAGAGACATGGGGCAGGGGCAAGAGAGATGCTACTGGTTGTTCTTGTTTCTCCCTCCACCCACATCCTTGATCACACTCAGTTGGAACCATGTTGGTTGGGTTCCCTTGAGTCTTAGGTTCCATTTTCTTCCTCCACTGCCAGACCTACCTGCAGCTGCTGCCCTGACCCCTGGGAGATCACAAGTGGATAAAGAATGATGTGATGGTATTTGGGGAAACCCCAGCTCACCTAGGAGGATAGGCAGACTAAGAAGAAAACAGCCAAAGTGAGAAATTCCTGTATTTGAGACTTCATAAGTATAGTTTTAGGATGAAACAAAATGCTGGCTAGAAACTGAGAAAGTGGATAATGTGGTGCAGGAGGGGCAGACATGGGGAGGGTTGTCATGGCTTGAGGACTCCAGTCTACCCGCACTTCACCAGTTCCCCAGTGTCCAAGGCAGGTAGAGGCTATTCTGTGGACTTTGGGGGTCGTTGAGGTCTCAGTTAAATAGGGAAGGGCCTCTTCCAGGGCCCTGTCTCGGCTCCCATAATCCCAACGGGACCCCAGACAACTGGCCCTGGGGCAGCTGCAGTCCAGTGTCCTCCCACAGCTCTGCAAGTCCCCCGTCAGCAGCTGGGAGCTGAGAGGGCAGGTCCGAGGCCAAAACCCGTCTCTAGTCCTTTGGTCTTTTCCTGCCTTAGCCCCGCCCAGGGTGGACCCGGACTTGGGTTTCTTGGCTCAGGGCAGGTGGGTCAGCGGCCTGGTGCCTCCTCATCAAGGTCCCCATGTCCACCTCAGTAAGTGGAACCAGTGGGGCCCGGAAGGGAGTTCGGCAGAGGCCCCCCACCCCACCCGCAGTGCGCAGGTTGCGCTGTTGGGGCCGCTGCTCTACCCTTCCCAGGCCGGAAGGGCGTGCGGGGGAGGAGGAAGCAGCTCTCGCTGGCCTAGGCCGGGTCGCAGGGAGCCCCGAGAGCGCGAGTCAACGAGGTCAGGGAGGCAGACTGGCCGCCGGGCTGCAGCGGGACGGCCACCCCAAGGCCCACACCCGAGGCCCCGGGCTGCAGGCCCAGGCCCGGAAGGGCCTCGCGGGGCGGGGGCGCTCGGAGGGATGGGCCGGCAGCCGCGTCCTGGCCGTGGTCCCGGCCGGTGCCCCTTCGCGACCTGGAGCGGAAGTCGCGCGAAGCCTCCGAGGAGGGGCCCGGGCCGCAGGAGGCCGCGCGGTCGGGGGTCGCCGCCTTCCGCCGCGCGCCCTCTGGCGGCCCAGCGTGACCCCCGTCCTGTTGGGGACGTCCCCGGGTGCTGTCCTCAGGCCCCGGCTTCACCTCCTCCGACTCCTCAGCTTAGGACGCTCTCGGGGCTCTGGCCACCTCCCGCCACCGCACTGTGCACGCCCCTTAGAATCGATGACGTCGTCCCCAAGTCACTCAGGCGACGTCTGGATGCCGCCACCTTCCCTCACCTCCCTCAGAACCTTACACTTCCCCAAATCTGACGTCTTGCTCTCTCCTCGGCCTGCAGAGCCCGATTCCCAGGCTGCCTCCCTCCTGCAGGCGCCATGTCCTGTCCCGAGTCGTCCTCTGCCAGCAGCCAGAATGAGCCCAAGTCGGTTCACTGCGATCACACGACGGTGGAGCTCACTGCCACCTACCGTACTGCACTCGGGGGACCTGCTAAGGCAGGGCGGCTCCCACTCCTCCCCTCTCCCAGCAGGGACCCACCGTCAGCCCTCTCTCTAGCCTACGTTCTGGCACCGCCCGCGCCCTATTTTCTAGTCCTCGCTCTTTGTAGTTGGCACAAACCCCAGCCTCTACCCCTGTCACCTGGAAAAACCCTCACCTCTCAAGCCACAGATCGTCCCTTTCCTTTCTTGCCTCTGTGCACCTGGCACCGACTCCTCCACTTGGGCTCTCCGTGTACTCGGGTCTCTTCTCCCCGCCAGGCCGTAGGTACTCGGCTCTTTGTATCCCTGAGGTCTGGCTCAGTTCTTGGTACTAAGTTAACGATGGTGGGAGGGTTTTGTGTATTGCATTTGATTAGCACTCTTGTTTTAAAGAGTGAGAGCAAACACTGGTTTGGATCATAAACAACATGTAACTGCTTTAAATGAATTGAAGCTGCTGGGACAAATTATATCCATGATAGTGAGAGAGAATTTAGAGTTGTCCTTTTCCAGAGACCATGTGAAAAGGAAAGCAATAATTTACTGCTTGCTTATGAGAAGCCTGACATTGTGCTGTGTTCTACCTTCATATTTTCAGATGTACCAGAAGCCCAGAGCTGGCAAATGCGTCTGGTAACCACACATTCAAATGTGACTGCTTGAGCCAATCCACCCGTTAGCCCTAAAAATAGGCTTTCTCTCCACTTCATGGTAATCTTCCACATTCCCTACACAACGTGTGTATGTGTTAAAAACTACAGCTCAATGAAATAAACAACAGACTTTTGAAAATGGAATTGATGGCTTAGGGAGAAACTTCTATTGTGAGACATTCAAACACAGGCTTGGCTAACTTCTTGATAACAACTGATAAATCTTATAGATGATTAATTTTAATCATTTAAGGTTCTTTCTACTGCCAAGATTTGATGAGCGGAGAATATAGTGATGGGTCTAAGCCAGTCAGCAGACTTGAAAAAATACTTTTCCAGGTATATTCATAAAGGAATTTTCAGTATAAGAACCTGCAACTTATTCCACTTAAAAGAATGCATCCAGGCACCACCTCCTTTATTTTTCTTTCCATCCCCCCAGATCTTTTGAGGAAGATGCTTCTTCTGAGTCATTGTCTCTTCATGGTGCTCTCGATGTATGACTCCAGCAAGAAGATTGTTTCATCTACCTGGATCTCACTGGCGTCCAACCTGAGTGAAAAAGTAAAAGCATTTGCCCAGACCGAATGTTCATTAGTATATTTAAATTCAGAGGTTGGGGTAGGTGTGTCTTGGTTACCCTTGAGAATACTGGGTGGAAAGCAGAAGAACCAATAAATCACTTTTCATTTACTGAGCATCTTTTATGTGCCAGGCACTGTGGAGGCTGCTGAGTATGTATAAGATCAAGCCTCCGTTTTTAGGGAGTTTAGCCTAACTTGCAACCAAGAGAAAGACTAGCACACATAAAGGTGTAGGTAGAAGGAGCTAGTGTATTTTAAAATTGTGAGAAGAGTGGCTGGAGCGTAATGTTCGTGGCGATTGGGCTTTTTTCCACCTAGGGAAAAACCACAGCTAACATCATACTTAATGGTGAAAAACCTGAGAGCTTTCCCCTAAGATCAGGAGCAAGAGTAGGATGTCTGTTCTTGCACTTCTACACAAAAATTGTTTTTTTTAAAAAGGTGTAGTTGGACACAATGCCTTTTATTTTATTTACTTATTTTTATGTAGCGTGGATTGAACCCAGGGCCTTGCCTGTGCTAAGCGAGTGCTCTACCGATGAGCTACAACCCCAGCCCCCAAATTGGTTGTTTTTCTCTATACTAGCAATGAATGATCTAAAATAGGGACACACAAGTAAAAAACAAACAAAACAAAACAAAAAAAAACTTGGGAATAAACTGACAAAACAGGTGAAGTCTTGACCACAGAAAACAGTAACTCATTGCTGAAGGAACTTAAAGATGACCTAAGTAGATGGGCAGCATGCTTGTTGTGCTCACAGGTAGAGGATTTTAATGTTAAGATGGCAGTGTTCCCCAAGGCAGTCTGCATGTTCATCATTATCCTGATTCAGGTTGGTGATGAAGAGCAAGAAGACATGAAGGTAATACAGGCTGCTATAAATTGTGAAAGTCCCTGTGTGTCACACAAAGCCTGGCCTTTATACCATAAAGATAGGTAGTCAATAAATCATCTGAAATAGTGAGTTTCGGTTGGCCCATGTTAAGTTGAGGTCTGGCAGGGTACTGCGATGGATTTGTCTGGAAGGTATTTTGAAATATAGCTTGAAGCTATGATGCTTACTTGTTGACATTCCGTTTCAGGGTCTCCAGCTGCTGACGTTCAGGAGCTGTGATCATCTCTTCTATTTCTTGTAGCTGTGCCTCCTCTGCACCTGTGGCCTGCATAGATGCAATGATGGCTTCTACCCTCTGAGACTTTTCTAGTAGACGCCTGTCAGACAAACACAACTCTGAGGCTTCTTCCTTAACTCTGAGGTTTTCTTACCCTTTCTCCCCGAGACACAAGTTCCCCTTTCACCATGTTCCTGATCAAAGTGGATAACAGCACCATTTAAAGACATTTTCTATAGACTTACTCTGCAAAAGTATTTGGGGGTATACTGGAAAAGTCTAGACTAATGAACGATTTATGCCAACCTAAAACAATGATTCAATTAACTAGACTAGTTATTGGATATCTGTCTCCATTTCTATAGAAAATTCCCTTTAGGCCTTTGATCTTGAAAAATGTAAATGACAAATGAAAATGCTACTCACTTGTTCTCTTTGGTTTCAAATTGCCTCCTTTCTATTAAGTTGGCTATGCTCTGAGGAAAGAGAAGAAAGACTAGAAATGCATATAGTTGTATTTAAATAGCTCAGCTAAAATGGGTAGAGGTGGCACAGGATGAAACGTCTCAGTGAAGGGAATGGGAAGAAACCACATGAGGTTACCTTGTAGCACCTGTGCAACAACATCCGGGCAGCTGATAGGACATTCACAGTATATAAATAGAAGGTCCTAGATGGGGCATGGTCTGGTGTTTTGGGAATTTCCTATTTGTCACAGAAAGAAAAATAAGAAAAATTGTACGATTTTTTCAGAATTGGCAAAGTAAGCACCCATTCCATTCAGAGTCATTCAATTCTCTCTTTCACTAATACTTTCCCCTTCCCTAGTTATCTAGTCGCTCTGTTTATGACACAATCAGCCACATGAAGACTGCATAGCCCTGATTTTTTCATTTGACCATCAGCATCCTGAGTGGGAAAGAAAGGAAAGGCAAATAATACTTACTGAGCAAACTCAACATGCCAGGTGGCTTTTATTTGATCTTTACAACCAAACATATTCTTATTACCACAATCCGTCACCATTTTTAATGATGGTAGGTGACTTGTTCAATGTAACTGGGTAAGAGGCAGAGCTGTGATCTGCTCTAAAACCTATTCTACCTACTTCCCGATAGCGTCTCTGACATGGCTTTGCAAAGACCCAACATATGCTACTGATAGAGTTAAGGCTCAGGAAAGGACAGGAATGATAGGAAAAAAGGGAAGCATGGTGTTAAGGCAATTCCTTGGCTATCTTTCTTACTAGGCCAGTTAAAGCTCCACAGTATACTTTAAGTGCTTGTTATGTCTTTGTTAATAAATTTTTCTGTCTCATAGCTAGATTCAGAGTTTGCTTGGGGACTCAGTTTGCTTGAAACTCTACTTCAAGAGTTTTTCTCACTCTAGGACAGTTTTGCTGGTTGGCAATTATATGCGTGGCTACCTGGAGTGATATGAAATTTTCTGAGAGCATCTTATATAGCATATCCTTTGCCTCCTTTGCAGGAATCATTGCAAAGTCCTCCACCTGCTTCTGCTCCAGGTGTTTCTTTTGCAAAACTAGACGGAATATTCTGGCACAGCGAGATCCGAATCTGGAAAGAAATAAACAAAATAAATATCGTACCAATAAAAAAAAAAAAAAATCAACATTAGCTCCTGGTCTTAGATGGTTGTTGTCCTAGTCCACAAGTGGAGCCAGGACCAAAAGGGAACAGCAATCAGAGAATTCCTTCACAGCTCCACAGGCTGGTGATGGTATTGTTCATCATAAAGGAGTCACCAACTGCTGACTCATTTGAGTGCCACAGTTGTTGTGTTACAAGACTTTAAAGAGCCTGGTTCATTTGCATCACCAGGAATTAAACAGTGTTTTTTTTGGGGGGTGGGGGGGTGGGGGTGGGGGAGTGAAGAGTAGTAGTAGGTGGGATCCATAGCTATTCAGTGGAAAAATGGGGCAAAATGTGCCTTTACTGATTACTTACATAATGATTAAATGCTTGTTCAAATGAGGTATGGATAGGAAGTGTCTAGCTCCAATCCCAATCAGAATGACCCCCTTACCTCTCCTGTACGACAGATTCCAGAGTGGCTGTGGCTAGAGATGCTAATGCCTTATGGAGGTCTTTATGTAGAGGATTAAGGTCACTTAGTAATGTTTTAGCCTTGTCATTTTGACAGTTTTATTCCTAAGTTTCTAATTTATAATTAAAATTTAAGAGACATTTTATTTTTTACATTGGTTTTATTTATGGTATATTTCTTAAAATTTTAATTAATGAAAATGTTTGAGAATTTTGCTTAACTAAAATTTGGTTGAGTAAAATTTCTTTTTATTTTGTCATTAATGTAGTTAATTGAAAATTCATAGAAAAATAGAAAGTTACTTCAATTTTCTAATTTATTTAGTATAATAAACATCACCAAATCTTTCTTTCATAAGTCACCATTCTGCTTTAAAGCTCAGGGTACCGTAATAACTAAGAATAATTGGTAGGAGTAGCACAGTGCTAGAGAGCTTGCCTAGCATATGTGAGGCACAGGGTTTGATTCTCAGCACTGCACATAAATAAGTTAATTAAATAAAGGTCCATCAACCACTAAAAAAATTTAATGAAAAAAGAATAACTGGTAAGGATACTGATGACATACATTCCTCCACCACTGTCGCCAGACTTTCCAACAAACTCTAGCTATTAAAAAAAAGAGAAAGAGTGTTAACTGAATGGAAAGTCCAGTGATTCTGTTTCCAATGGAGTGAATCTGGCCAAGAGTCTGCAGCAAGTAGCTTTCCTGTCAGATGATGGTGGGGAAATTGTCTGAGCTGGCTAGTACAGAATGAGGCTATAGGAGAATGATACTAGGTGTCAGTGGCAGAAGTAAATTGTAAACAGAGGAGCAGGAAAAAAAAGTGCAAAAATAGACTTACAGGATCATCTGCCAGCAGAGTGAGATACTGATCAAGAACTTGCTTAGAGATGTTATAGCCAACCGGCAGGGATCTGAAGATCTACGGAGCAAGAGGGGACACTGAAAATGGGCTTGATCATTTAGGATTGCTAACATTAATAAAGATGTTTTAATTTTAGCTATCACAAGTATAAAAAAAAAGTTCAAAAAATATTCACTGTAACACTGTTAAGAGTAAGAAAATAAGAAACAACCCAATGTTCAGTAATAAGGAATTAAAATAAACTACAGCATGGGCATTAATGTGATAGTCATAAAGAATGAGAATCTATAAGTACTACATGAAAAGAAGTCTTACATATACTGTCATATGAAAAAAGTAAGTTGTAGGGCTGAGGATGTAGTTCAGTGGTACAGTGCTTGCCTAGCACGTGAGAGGTCATGGGTTTGACCCTTCACCACAAAACAAAAAATGAGTACAATCTCATTTTTTTGGGTTAAAATAAAAATACATAGATCTACATATATGTTAGGCTATCTGTTAAAAAATGCTCTGAATAAACATATATATCAAACTATTAACAGGGATCTCTGGGGCTAAGATTATGTAAAATTATGGATATTTTAAATTGATGTATATTAAAGAAAATAAGAAGCATAGATCTTAAGGGTTCAATCTGATCAGTATTGATAATTGTATATACCCACGTAACTACCAGGCACAATAAGATAAAGAACATTCTACCACCCTTGAACCTTTGGGTAAATGGTAACTTTAAAAAATTTAGCCACAACATTCAATTTAAATAAATTATGAAATATAAATATTTGATGTATTAAGCATTAATATTTTAAAGATTATACAAAATTTAGCTGGGTATAGTGGCATAAGCCCGTAATCCCAGCTACATGGGAGGCTGAGACAAGAGGATCACAAGTTCAAGACCAGCTTGGGCAACTTAGTAAGACATTGTCTCAAAATAAAAAAACAACAGGGGCTGTGGATATAACTCAGTGTAGAGTGCCCTTGGGTTCAGCGCCCAGTACAAACACAAACACAGACACACAGACACACACACACACACACACAATTCAAACACAAGGGGTCAAATACAAATAATGCCCAAATGCCAAGGTTCTCAAAGATTCTTTTTTAATTTTTTTGAGATAGGATCTAACTAGGTTGCCTAGATTGGCCTCAAGTGATTATTTTGCCTCAACCTATCCAGCAGCTGGGACTACAAGGTGCACATTACACACACTGCTAGTGAATTCTTAGAACAATTAGGAATAAGTTATATATGACAAATAAGTAGATTTTTTTTTTTAAATAGAATATCATTGCCTTTCTTTTTTTTTTTTTTATTATTTATTTTTTAGTTATTGGCAGACACAACATCTTTGTTGGTATGTGGTGCTGAGGATCGAACCCGGGCCGCACGCACACCAGGCGAGTGCGCTACTGCTTGAGCCACATCCCCAGCCCTATAAGTAGATTTTTAAAAGCTGGATCCCAAGAGACCAAGTATTTCAGTGCTCACCACTTGAAGGTAATCTAAATAATAAAAACCCTTTTCTTTCAAAGCTTGGACCTAGACCCTAGGCTCCACGTATGCTAATTGTTATAATATCCACAAGTCTTAGAAGCTAGCACAAAAACATGAAACTCACCTCATTGGAAGACAAGGGTTGGGTGAAGGGGGCACTAGAGGGAGTGGTAATCTCACTCATCCGGAGCATGGTCCGCACAATCTCACTGCTTGTCTGGGTTTGAAAAGTAAACTGGGATTCAGAATTAGTTGTGTTGCCCCAGATCTGGCTATGTGCCAAGGGCCACATCTGGCAACTGAATGACTTTATTCCCTATGATCACTGACAGACCCCATGTAGATACGACCTGGTCCATCCTGTTGGCAACTGCGCTCACAATGGCTTGGTCACGGAAGTGCTGGTGGAACCTCTCAAGGTTGGCCTGCCAATAAATCCCATCATCTGGAATGGGCTGAAGAGGAGAAAGTATTAGAGAGAAACGTTTAAACAATGCAGAGTTTTCTGGTGAGGAGCTTGGATTTGACTGTTCACTGTTTCTTTTCCTCTACTATAACAACTAAATTGGTTGGAGAAAAATCATTCAATCATATGAATCAGTGTCTTGATAAATTCCAGCTTCAAACTAGTTCTCACACTAATCTCCAATCTATTTCTATTTTAACTCTTTTCCATTATCTCAAGTCTCCTACTTGATTCTTTCTTACTTTTAGCTGATGATCTTGCCTTTGATTTCACAGAGAAATCAGAAGTCATTAAGTAAAAACTCACTTGACTTTGTGCACACATCCTCTTTCTTCCTTGCTTTAAAATTTTTTTTTCTTTTCTTTTTTGGTAGCACTGGTGTGTGTGGGGGGTCAAACTCTGGGCCTTTGCACACTAGGTAAGTGCTCTATCACTGAGCTACATCTCCAGCCAGATCTCTACTGTTTATTTTAATTTTTGACATGTTTATGTACATGTTTATGGAGTATAGTGAAATGATCAGATCAGGGAAACTGGCATTATCTATCACCTCAGAGATGTCTATTCTTCATTATCCTTAATGTTGTTAACCGTATTTCAGGTTCTAATCATGGCTCAACTGGATTATAATAGCTTCCTAACTCATTTTCAACTGAGGATTGAACTAAGGAGTGCTTTACCACTAAGCAGTCCTTTCTATTTTTTACTTTTGAGACAATTATTAAGGGTATAAATTGCTTAGGGTCTCACTAAGTTGCCGAGGCTAACCTCAACCTTGTGATGCTCCTGCCTCAACCTCCTCAAGTTGCTGGGATTACAGGTGTGCACCACTACCCTGATGGGATTTTCACTAAAAAAAAAAAAAAACAAACCCACATACACATTCCTTCTCTCTCTCTCTCTAAGGGAGTAACTGGGATTTTCTGGTTCTAATCTTGTGGCTTTTGCACCACTCTCCCATTTCTCCTAAGTATGCTTTTACCTTCTTAGGTCACAGTTCTGCTAAAGGATCAGATGAAAGCTACGGAGAGGTCCACTAAAATATGCACATGAGCACAAGTACAAGTGGACTCTGGAATCTTCCATGGAGCCAGACAAGTTGTGTGAACAACGGGCTATACATCTTTCTACATTAACAGACCCTCCTGCCTTCAGGATACAGGCCAAACCTTAGGCGATCAACATGTGCTAGTATTCCATATGCTGCCCTTAAGGAATTTATATTCTACCCAGGGCACAACAACAAACACATACATAAACAATATATAATGTCAAACATGAATATAAATGCTGGAAGATAAGGAAATGGAAAAATGTGTAGAGACTGGAATAGGGCTGGGCAACGGTCTTGAACTCCAAGAAAAAGAGCATTTAAGCTTAGATCTGAATGATGAAAGAGGCAACTACATGAAGTTGTGGTAAAAAACATGTGAAGCAGGAGGAATAGTAAGGGGAAAGCCTAATGTATTTAAGGAACAGAAAGAGAGTAGATAGAACACAGTGATCAAGAGGGAGAGTTGGGAAGAAGTGAGAATGATCACATAAGGCTTGACAGTCTGTGGTCTGGATTTCTTCTAAGATAATGAGAAGCTTTTAAAGGAGTCCAATTGCTGTCCCCGCCGACCCCCCAGTACAGGAAGTCGAACCTACGGCCTCATGTATGTTAGGCAGGCATTCTACCACTGAGCTACACTCCCCAGCCCTTGGTATTTTTTATTTTGAGACGAGGTCTCACTGAATCACCCAGGCTGGTCTGTCTCAGCTTCCTGAGAAGCTGGGACTACAGATGTGCACTACTGTGCCCAGTGAGTGATTAAGAAATAAACAAACAAAAAATGTAGGTGATGGTGTTCTTTACCAAGACGAGGAAGCCTGGAAGGGAGCAGATATCTGGGAGGGGGATATCAACTGTTCTGCTTTGGCCATACTAATTTTGAGACACTTACTAAACATCTTTATAGGAATGTTGAGGAGGCATATAAATATAGGAGTTTAGGCCTAAGTGTCCTTCTGGACTCATTCCTCACTATTGGCCCCATGTGTCTACGTGTTCTAGCCATACTTTTGCATACACTGTTACATTGTTCAACGCATGAAGTCCGTCAAGCCTCAGAAGGAAGACACAATGGTTCCCGTCCTTCATTGGGTCACTCCTGACCAGTGATATTTGACATTAGTCCTACTACCTCTTAGCTTAGGGACCTTTAAGGTCTCTTGGGGTTTGTTATCTGTGTGCTCTTTCTGGCCGGCTTCAGGGTGAGAAGTCTAATCAAGAAGCTCCATTACCTCTTTGTTATCTGTGGTATGTTTTGGTCTCTTGGCTTTGGGTTCCCCAGCAGCATCTTCGTCAGATGATCTCCTCCTTTTACCCTTTCCTGCCAAATAAAACAAATCAACAGTTAGGTTATATACCACATGATGAGAGAAATGACCAAACATGAGGGCAGGTGTATTTTCATCCCAAAAGCTACCTGTAGGTTAGAGCTGTTTAAGAGGCTGAAGAACTAAAAGAAATGCTTTCTTTTTCCCTCAAACTGGTCCTCCTCCAATGCTTCCTTTCAGTAATGGCATCATTATCCTCTCACATGTGCAAGTTAGACACACAGATGTTATTTTTGATACCTCTCTCTTTTAACTGTTTCTTATTCTTTTCCTTTTTTTGAGGTAACAGGGATCAAACCCAGGGTCTTGTACCTGTTAAGCAAGTGCTCTTCCACTCAGCTACATCCCAGCTCTTTTTATTTTGAAATAGGGTATTGCTAGGTTGCTCAGGCTGGGCTTGAACTTGGGATCCTCTTGCCTCAGCCTCCTGAGTAATTTACTACTTCTACATCAATTTTTCACCAGTCGTTTTCATTTACCATTTGCCTCATCCTCCTATCCTTTCTGTAGACAGAAAAATATTTCAGAAATGTAAATCAGATCCAGTGATCCTGGAGGCTGAGGCAGGAGGTGCAAGTTCAAGACCAACCTCAGCAACTTAGCAAAGACCTAAGGACTTAGTGAGATTCTGTATTAAAATAAAACACCAAAAAAAAAAAAAAAAAAGGGCTGGGGATGGGGCTCAAGTGGTTAAGTGACCCTGGTTTCAATCCATGGTGCCCCTCGCCCCCACCAAAATGTAAATTTGGACATGTTAATTCCAAGCTTAAAAATCCTTAGAATAAAGCACAGGTGCTGTATAAGGTCTTGCTTGACTTGGCCCCTGCTTGCTGCTCTAACCTGATACTTCTCTTTACTTTGCTCACCTTGTTCTAGCTATACTGACTTTCTTTTATTTCATAAATGCCTAGTTTTTTTCCTTATTGCATACTAATCCCTTTGATAAAAATGCTTATCCTCTATTACCTCATTGGTTAGTTTCAAATCTTAGCTCAAAATCTTGTTTCAAATCTAAGCTCCAATTTTGCTTTCTCAAAGAAACATGTGCCCTAACCCCATGTATAACTCTACTCTCCCATTATATATTTTTTAACATCTTATACTTCTCCTTCACAGTACTTATCACTGTTTTTTTTTTATATATCTATGTGATTGTTTGATTAGTGTATATCTCCTATACTTAGACTTAAACTCCATTAGGGTAGGAATCATGGTTTTCTCATTATTTTATATCACAATGTCTGGCACAGAGTGAATACTTGGTAAATGCTCAATTGATTCATTCATTTAACATTTATTAAATAAGAATCCACCATTAGGGCATTATGGTTCTATGTTCAAAATCTCTTACCTATCAAGCTCAATTTAGGAACCAGGTACATGTCCTTTTCATTAACAACAAGGGTTGGGGCAGGTGGTGGTGGTCCAAGATCTGAATTCTCAATGGTAGGCACTAAGGGACAGCGCTGTACAAAGTGTGTATCTGCTAGTCGCACAAATGTGTTTGATACCTCAGCATAGTCCATGGTCTTGCCATCTGTACAACAGAAGGAAAGAGGGAGGTCAGCTGGCCTAAGATGACAGTTCATTCCTTTAATCAGCCAACTGATGCTCTTGCTAACAGATATGCATACTGTACTTACCCTCCATGGTTTCTGTGAGTCGGTCTGCTACTTTCTTCACAACAGCTGACATTGTCATTTTGCCATTCAACAGCAGCTCCTCAACAATCAGCTCTCCAGTGTCGCTGTATAGTGTTTTGGTAGTATAGATGTACCGGGGATATCTAAGCATTCGCAACACCCGGCTGCACTGAGCTTCATACTCCACCACACCACGTTTATGCACTTGATATATCACCAGGTTATGCTGGATGAGGACACAAAGGGCTTTTCTCACCTAGACAGAATTCAAAAGAGAAGACCTGGAGACATAGCTCATAACTGCTGGCAGTTTTTTGTCCTATAGTTTACTAAACATCAGGGGATGGCTAGATAAGAATTTCTGTTCTTATTTCCTCTCTGCTGGAGTAGCTAATAACAATCAAACATCAGTAGAAGAAATCAGGAAGATTCCTTGCTATGATGTATATATTTTTTCTGATCTTTAGCTTTCACATAATGATTTACTTTTCTTCTATCATTCTTATTACTTAAAGGTAGTACTGAGATTAGTAGATTGATTATGAAAAAATGAGATGTAGCACGGGAAGAATAAAGATTTATTTAGCCACAGTGATCTAGGAACACTCTGAGAAGTAAAACCTCAGGGCTGAAGTATCACCCTCTGTCCCCACAGGAAACATTGTTATATCCTAGAGCAGGCTTTTCCACTTCAACTTTTTAGGATAAGAAGCAAAAATATTCCAAAAGTAGGTGGAAGACATTAATGAAGGAAATTAAAGATAGCAAAATGATGTCATCTAAACATACCTGATCCAGTGATGTTCCCGTGTCATGGGCAATTACTCTAAGTGGCTGGCTGCCAGTTCTGATTAAGTGAACTCCAACTTTTTCTACGATCTCTCCAAAATGCTCTTGTAGCAACAAAGAACACAGTTTAATTTCCGCTTGAGTCATTGTACTGGGGAGTCTCAGAACTAAGAAAAACAAGAATGTAAATTCATGTATTCTTTTTGGAGAGCAATTTGACAATACATTTGAAAAGCTTTAAAATATTACATACATATGACCTCACAATTTCATTTTGGATAGTGTTCCAAGGAAATAAAAAGACATCGTTCATTTTCTTTATAATACTGACATATGGAAACAACCTAATATCTAACTACAAATTATGGTATACTTATGTACAGATGAGGCAGGACACCAGATAGGAAACAGGAAGCAGGTTCATTTGGCTGCAGCCAGGTTCAGAGGGCACAGCTTTCGCTGTAATCAATTAATCCCTCTGAAACTCAAGTTCAGGAAGTTTCAGAACTTTATACCCAGCGTGTAAGGTGAAGGGCTCAGAAGTTCACACAGAAGCAGCTTTTTCTTTCACTGTTCTGGGCAAGTTAACTCTTCAAGTCAGCCACTGACAAGGGGAGAGCTTCTTCTCCCCTTTCTTCCCTCCCCCTGCTAGTTGTTACCATGGAGCCCAATTAGAAACCTTTTCTCCTTGAAATGTAAACATCTGTGTGAAGCTCTGGCCCAAAGCCAGAGGCCTAGTTAAAATAATCTGTTTTTCTTATCAACTCTGCATTTGCAGGCACACTTCCCTTGAACACCTTTACAAACTGGGCTGGGGTTGTGGCTCAGTGGTAGAGTGCTTGCCTAGCATGTGTGAGGCCCTGGGTGATTCTCAGTACTGCATATAAATAAAATAAATGTTCCATTAACAACTAAAAAAAACTGTAAAAACTTTACAAATTGATACACACATAATAGACAGTTCATGAATGTTTGTTAAAAAAAGTAGTAAAGAGATGTTCAGCACCTGGAGTGCTGATCTCTTTCAGGCCCCTGGAAATAAGACAGAGCGACAGGAAATAGGAAATTTAACTACATTGAACTCCTTTGCTCATAGTCTTAAGATCAATTATGGGGAAGATTTCTGGAGAAGCTTAATTAAGATTTTCTGTGGAGGGGGTGCCACTACACTTATATAAGGGTATATACACTAACATTTAAAATACTTTAGTACAATACATTCTAGTATATAATAGTTCCTAATATAAACAAATTGCAAAGAAAACGGGCCTAAACTTCAATTACTGTAGAAAAATAAAAAACATGCACGTACAAAAAAAGACTGGAAGTCTATATGTCAGGTTTTATGGGATTATGTGTCATTCTAAGTTTCTTTAAAGACTGAGTGTAGATGATTAGCCAGGCTGCGCACGCCTGTAATCCCAGTAGCTCAGGAGGTTGAGGCTGGAGGATTTCTCGTTCAAAGCCAGCCTCAGCAATTTAGCGAGGCCCTGAATAACTCGGTGAGACCCTGTCTCTAAATAAAACACCAAAAGGGCTGGGGCTGGGGGGGGGGGGGGGGCGGGGGCTCAGTGGCACAGTGTTTGCCTCTCCTGTGTGAGGCACTGGGTTCGAGTCTCAGCACCACATATATAAAAAAAACCTAAAGATCCATCAACAACTTAAAAAAAAAAAAGGCTGGGGGTGTGGCTCAGTGATGAAGCTCCCCTGGGTTCAATTCCCGGTACCAAAAAAGTAAAATGAATGAATGAATAAACAAACAAACAAACACTGCGTGCAGATGACTTTTCTGCTCCAGACCTTAGTTTCTACAAAGAGTCTCCACTGTTCAGCGGGTGAACAGGCAGTTTCTCCTTCGGTCCTTTAAGGGAATCAAACTTAACAGAAATGGGGCCAAGCCGAGCTTCTCAACCGGGTGTTTCAACCGGGAGCTGCAGATCCTTGCGGGGCAGGATTTACTTCTTGAGCTCGACTCCTTCGCCGCACACAGACACGGAGGGCTGCCTCCAGGACGACTCCCGGTCACGGCTGCGGCCCCCACACGGCGGCCGCAATCCTCCAGCTCCGCGGGATGCGGGTCTCGCCCGGCCTCGCGCGGCCCGAGCCCCCCGGCACGGCTTCCGAGAAGCTCCGCGCCCTTGGCCCGCGCTCCCCTCCGCTGGCTTCACACAGGTTCCGGTTCTGGTGTCTCGGCCGAGAGTCAGAACCGCCTCGTCTCGACCCACTAACCTCGGGGCCAGTGCTAGTCCACAGCGGCCAACCCCAGGCCGCCGCCTCCGCACGTGGGCTCCCGGCGCCCGCCGGTGCTCGCCGCGCTCGGGCAGCCCCGGGCGCCTTCCCGGAAGCAGATCGTCCCCGCCGCGGGTGCCGCTCTACCCCGGAGTGTCGGTGGTTTCCGGGGACACTCTGCCTTTCTTCTCGCTGGAAGGCTGGAGGACTGGCGAGGGGTAGTTTGAGTTGCCGGCGGGCGGCTGCGGCCGGCGGACTCTCCTGCCCACGCCTCTCTGGTGCCGGGAGGCGGGCCGCCGGGTCCTCTCCGCGCCGCCGCCCTCCGGGTCCGGCAGACTCACGTGACCGACGCGGACTCTGGAGCGGCGGGCCGCGCCGAGGCGGCGGCGGCGGCGAGCGCAGCCTGCGAGGTAGCGGCCTGGCGAGGGACCGGCCGGCTGCCCTCGCCCTCCGACAGCCGCGGCGGGGAGGAAAATGGCGGAGGCCTCGGCGGCCGGGGCGGACGCGGGCGCCGCTGTGGCCGCGCACCGGTTTTTCTGCCACTTTTGCAAAGGCGAGGTCAGCCCCAAACTGCCGGTGAGCGCCCCTGCCCCCTGCGCGTCGGCGCCGGCCCGCACTCCCGGCCGCGGGGCCCGGAGCTGCGTCTTGGGCTGCCCGCAGTCCGCGGGCGCCGGGGCCCGGCTCCCTCCTCGGCTGCGGCCCCGGCTCTCCTGCCCCCTCCATCTTTTGTCTTCCGGCCAAGCCCTCTGGAATCCGCGCCGGGGTCCCGCCGCTCCCCGTCCCCGGACCCGCCCGGACTCCGCGCCGCGGCTCCCCGTCCCCTGCTGCCCCGCGGCTCCGGGCCGGACGCCCCTCCGCCGCCCGGGAGGCCGCGCAGCCGAGGGCCGAGGGTCGCAGCTGGGTCGGAGGGGGGACGCTCTGGGGAGGGGACTTTGTCTCGGTGGCTTCCCGGTCCCTGTGAAAGCGAAAGGCCGAGGGCTGATGACTTGCAGGTTGCCGGCGCCCCTGGCCCTGCCGAGGACGCTCAACGCCCGGTGCTTTGGGTACGTGCTGCCGGCGACCTCGTAGCCTTCCCGCCTGCCTCCCACCCGCCCTTCTCTTCCCCTTCTCTTAGGAAGGAGGCCAGGCCGACGCGGGGACTGCTTCCTCGGCAGAGAGCCGCTCCTCCCCAGTTCTCCGGACTCCAGTTAGCCAGCAGAGAGGCAGTGCTGGGGGGTAACGAGCTAGCCGGGGCCGGCCCCCCAAACCCACCCGCCGCTGTGCAAGACCCCAGCCTGGACGAACGTTAATCTGCCTTCGTCAGCTGTTTTTTATAGAACTGGTGATGGTTTTCTTTCCCTTCGGAGTGTTTAGTTTCAGTTTTAAGACAAATGGAGTGTAGTGAATTAGCACCTAAGGAGTGTTTTAAAAGCCTTTTCACCTAGAAGTCATGTGTTTTTCAGGCCTTTATGATGTTTTCCTCCATCTCTTTTTGTCTCATACTTCTCTCCAACGCTGCCTGGCTCCATTTGCTGATCTCGCTGTGTGTCCAGGTACTTCCTGCCATGTTTCAGGGCTGGGAAAGCAGACACCTTGTATTTTCCAGTGGCCATCAGAGCCCCCAGAACTCTCTCCGCAGAGAGGAGTCTGGGATTCAGCTGTGTGACCAGGGACAGCTCGGTTGAGTATGTATGGTGCCTTGGTGTACGTTCTCTTAGGATCTGCAACTTGTTCACTAACTTGCCTTTTAGGGTGAGAAGACTTAGCCTAAATTTCTACAGTTTATTATATCCTCTTATCCCAAGTCTTCATTTCAAAGGGGTAATTTGAAAGGCTTTTTTAAAAACTTTATTTTATTTGTTTATTTTTTCTTTTATGTAGTGCTGAGGATTGAACTCAGTGCTTCACACATGCCAGGCAAGCACTGTACCACTGAGCCACAACCCCAGCCCTTGAAAGGCATTTTAAAGTGTTTTTCTAAACCTTAGATGCCTGGAAAATTTCTTTCTTTCTTTCTTTTTTTTTTTGGTACCAGAGATTAAACCCAGGAGCCATTAACCACTGAGCAACATCCCCAGCCCTTGTTTATATTTTATTTAGAAACAGGGTCTTGCTGAGTTGCTGAGGGCCTCAATAAGTTGCTGAGGTTGGCTTTGAACTTGAGATCCTCTTGCCTTGGCCTCCTGAGCCCTTGGGATTACAGGCATGGGACATTGTGCCAGGCTGAGAATTTCTTGATATTTTTAATCTGATTTGTTATCTGTGTTTGTTTTTTTTTTGCCTAACTTATAAATCGAGACCTATCACAATTAATATAACCAAATGCTTCCTTTGCTTGATTCCCTGGAGGAAATGTGAAGGAATATGTGGTTATTGCTCTTGAGGGACCTCACCTTTTTTTGTTTGTTTATTTGTTTGTTGAAAGACAAGACAAGGGGGCTGGGGTTGTGGCTCAGTGGTAGTATGCACCAGGCACTGGGTTCGATCTTCAGCACCACATAAATGTAAAATAAAAATATTGTGTGCCGGGTTTCTGTTCTTGTGACTAAAAGGCTCAGGGGTCACTCCAGTTGAACTGGGCTAACTGGGGTGCACGAAATAACCCCACAAGAGACACAAATACCTTTTTCTAGACACACCCATGCACAAGACAGCGACCCTCGCACCCAAGAAGGGTGGGGAAAGCTCTGCTACATTTCTGTGACTGAGCGTCTCAGCACCCAGCTGGGGAGTGTGACTCAGTCACATGTAAGGTTGGTCTCCCACAGTTGTGGCCACCTAAAACTTAAGAATAAATATTTTAAAAAAAGAAAAACAAGACAAACATGGAAAAAGTAACAACGTATAGTCACACATTGCTTAAGAATGGGAACAAGTTCTGAGAAGCATTGTTAGGTGATTTCATTCTTGTAAGAAGATCAAGAGAATGTACTTATACAAAGATAGCTACAGTGTCACTGGGCAGTGCAGTCTTATAGACCCAACCTCTAGGCTACATGCAGTTAGTTGAATGGAACCTAAGTAGGGCATGACTACTAGTGGAGTGATGAGGATGGATAGTATGTACTCTTGGTTAGAGGGAGGGGTGTGTGTGGTGGCATTGATGCTGTGGGGAAGGTGAGACAGCTGAGGTGGGATTTGTTGATTTTTCTCTTCCCACATTTTTTATTGGTGCGTTATAGTTGTACATAATAATGGGATTTGTTATTGTATATTCGTACATGCACATAATATAGCAACGTAATTTGGCCACTATCACTCCTCCTCCCTCTCCCGTCCAACCCTTGGTGCCTGTCCTCTATTGATCTCCCTTTGATTTTCATGTCACCTCTCTCCCCTTTCTTTTTTTTTTTCCCCTCTGTAGCTTCCACACATGAGAGAAAATAAGAAACCCTTCACTTTCTGAGTTTGGCTATGAGGTGGGATTTAAACTGAGTTTTGGAGAATAGGTACAATTCAGATTTATAATATCCAAAACTGCTGCTTGTGGTGGCTCATACCTATAATCCCAGCAACTAGTGGGGCTGAAGTAGGAGGATCACAAGTGTGAACCCAGACTTAGCAACTTAGCCTTAGTCTCAAAATAAAAAAGGCTGGGGACGTAGCCTAGTGATATCCCCAGTACTGCATAAACAGAAACAACCAACAGAAGCCTAAGGCATGAGGCAGCAAAAGGAAAAGTGGACTGAGAAAGAAGGGGGAATATTTGGTCTTATCACTGTTTTTATTTTTTCAAAGTTGAGTGTATAATTGTATATATTTATGGAGTGGGTCTAGCATGATGTTTACATATAACATGCATATTTATATATAATGTATATGTAATATATTTGTTTGTATAGTTTATTCAAATTTTTCTCTTTTGTGGCAGTGGGAATGAAACCCAGTGGCACTTTATTGCTGAGCCACACTGCCAGCCCTTAGTTTATTTTGAGACAGGGTACTACTAAGTTGCCCAGGTTTGAATTTTCAAATCTCCTGTCTTGGCCTCCAGAGTCACGGGATTACAGCATGTGTCACCATGCCTGGCACAATTTCAAATTATATACGAGCTGTGGTCACAACGATGTACAGTAGAAAATCATTATTGTTACCCATTTTTAGGAAAAGGTACAGTGAGGTCAGAGTTCGAGTTTCTGTTTGTATATGTCAGCGAGTTTTACCTTGTTTTATGGCCTTTTCTGTATCCTTAATCCCAGACGTTGGCTTGAAAATGTTGATTTAAGAATGACCAGGTTGCTGGGCATGGTGGCACATGACTGTAGTCCTAATAGCTCAGGAGGCTGAGGCAGGAGGATCAAGAGTTCAAAGCCAGCCTTAGCAACTCAGCGAGACCCTGTCTCTAAATATAATATAAAAAAGAGCTGAAGGTGTGGCTTAATAGTTTAGTGCCCCTGGGCCTGGTACCACAAACAAACGAACAAACAACAAAAAAAGCAAGAACCACCAGGTCAGTAACTCTTGTCCAGTACATGCCCATCTGTTACTGAAGAACCACAGGAAACACTGGTAATTTGATCCCTCTGGGAGGACACTGAAAAGGTTTCCACAGTTTTTCTTCCTCTTTTGTGGTACTTTGAACCCAGGGGTGCTCTCCCACTGAGTTACATCTCCAGCCTTTATTTTTTGTTTTGAAACAGGCTCTCACTAAGTTGCCCAGAATGGCCCTGGACTTTTTTTTTTTTTTTAATGGACACAGTACTTTTATTTTGTTTTATTTATTTTTAAGTGGTGCTGATCAAACCCAGTGCCTTCCACTGAGCTGAAACTCCACCCCTATGGCTCTGAACTTTGGATCCTTCTACCTCAGCCTCCTTAGTTGGGATTATAGGTATGGGCCACTACACTTGGTTTATAAGGTAACTTGAAATTTCCTCATCATGAGGGTCCAGCATACAATAGGCACGCATAATTTCTTGAACTGGATAATTGTTAGGGAAACCTGACCATCTTTCTGAGGATACGCAGACCCAGCTTATAAATAAAGTTTTTCACTGTCTTGACTGTTGTATTGCTGGAGGGTAAGATGCTTGGGGTAGTTGGAGGTCAAGAATTATCATCCATGGGTACTGTCCCCACTGAACACCAGAGACTAGGTATTGTATTTATATCAGTTTTTTTATTTTGGGTTTTTTTTTGGGGGGGGGGGCGGTCTGGGGATCAAACCCAAGGCCTCACATGTGCTAGGTAAGTGCTCTGACACTGAGCCATACTCCCAACCCTACATCAGCTTTTAATGAGCTGTTACTAAGTGGGAAGGACTGCTTCAGAGCCAATTCATCTTTTGCCAGTTTATTCACCACATAGCACAATTATAAGTGTTTTCTATGGGACTATGTTGCAAGGTTTTACAACTTTTCTGTTATTTCTTCTTTAATCAACTCTAGGATATAGCACTTCTTGATACATTTGGAGGTATATACAGGCAACAGCAATAGCTTACTTAATATTCAGCCTTGAAAACACCCTTAGGTTTTTGTTTTTCATTTTCTTGTCAGTCCAGTTACTCTGAAGGATTCATGGTCCCAGCTAACTTTAATGTTTGTATTAAGAGAAACAGTTTTGGTTGTTACTTGAGAGAGACTGTAGTATGCCTA